AGGTAGATGTCCGGATGCTGCTCTGTGATGATGGAGAAAGCTTCGTGAAGTAGCGGATGGCCTTTGTCTTTCACTAATCTTCCGGCGACTCCGAGGACTAGACTTGCGTTTCCAGGTATTCCGATTCGAGCCCTAAATTCTTGACCTAATTTGAAATCCTCGCCGAAATCGTCCTCGTCGACGCCATTGACGATCACATGGACTCTTCTGCTTGGAATTTGGTACACATCTCGGAGCATCTCTCCGCAACTGTCGCTAATCGCGACGTGGTGAGCGTAATTTTTGAAGAATCGGATCTCATTCAGTACCTTCGGGACATCGCCTTGAATATTCATGTTGAAGGCCGGCGACATCGGCTCGTTCGGCCGGCGGGCTAGGTCCTGGAATAAGTCCGATTGCAAGCTCTCTAGGGCAATCCCATGCCAAGAAACTGCGAGATTCGAGAGCTTTTTGGCTACTCCGTGAGGCAGTGCAACGCTTTCTGTGTGAACAACGTCGAATGGTTCTCGGTGGTTTTCTTCTTCATATTGCTCCCAAGCTTTGTTGTAGCGCCACCGGCCTGGTTCACCGTCGTGCCAATGGATGTACGGCGCTGAAGTTGCAGACGAGAGGTTTTGAACAACGCCATAATCGGGCGGTGGTGAGGTGAAAACATGAACGCGGTGGCCACGGCGAGACAGAGCCGTGTGAAGCGTATAAGCATGGCGCTCCATTCCACCAGGGGTTGTTCCGATCGGCCATTTTCTTGAGAAGACAGCAATTTTCAGAGCAACAGGTGGGGGAAGATCTTCAGAGAAAGCTAGGCGATTCCAAGAAAATTGAGCATCGCGAAGGTCTCCAAACCATGAGTTCAGGCGGGCGGTGGAGGTAGAAAGAGAGCAGACAGAGATGGTGGAAGTGTGGAGGAGGAACAGAGTGGGGACTGTGAAGAGAACGATGAAGAAAAGGGTGGTACAGAGATTGCAGTGGGAGAGGGAAACAGTGGATTTCTTTTGGAATTTGGAGTTGAAAGCCATGGTTGGGGATGGAGAAGAAGAAAGGGATATGGGAAATGAAGAAGGAGTGTCTTTTTTGGGGTTGAATTCCATGGAAATTGTTTTTGGAAGAAAAGTTTGGAGGGGAAAGTGGGGGAGTTGGGTACGCACTGAAGCAAAGTGGAAAGGAGTTTTGTGAGTTTTTTTCTTTTTCTTTTTTTTTGTTTATTTTGGTCTCAAAGTGCGCTTCTCGCGGCCTTTCCCATTGAAAAAGGTTGAATATTTTCCACCGTTTTTGCTTCTTCCAGTTCAAGGCTGCTCTCTACCACAGGAAACGCAATACGTCTCTGCCTCTCTCTCCTCATTAACAAATGGTGTTAAAAACGATAGAGAATGTGACATGGCAGTCCCGTCCAGTCAAGCCTGCTAATTGATATTGTCTTCGTTGGATTGGAGATAATGTCTTCATTGGGTTTTTTTCTCTTGGACTTCTCTTCAAGGTTTTTAAAACATGTCTATTAGGAGAGAGGTTTCCATATCCTTATAACAATTGTTTCGTTCTCCGCTCTAACCGATGTGAGGTCTCACAATCAACTTTTCTTAGTGGCTAACGTTTGGTGTCTGGCTCTAATACCATTTGTAACAGGTAAGCCTACCGTCAAAGTGGATAATATCTATTAGCCGATATGAGGTCTCACAATCCACACAATCCACCATCCTTGGTGGTTCAGCTTATGGTGTCTGACTCTAATACCATTTGTAACAGCCTGAGCCTACTGTTAAAGAGGACAATATCTGTTAGCTGATGTGAGGTCTCACAATCCGCACAATCCATCCTCCTTGATGGTTCAACGTTCGGTGTTTGACTCTAATACCATTTGTAAAAGTCGAAGTCTATCGTTAAAGTATCTGTTAGCTGATGTGAGGTCTCACAATCCGCACAATCCATCCTCCTTGATGGTTCAACGTTCGGTGTTTGACTCTAATACCATTTGTAAAAGTCGAAGTCTATCGTTAAAGAGGACAATATCTGTTAGAAGTTTTAGGAAGTCAACCCAAGAAGGGTAGGAGACAAAGCTGCATTGTAATGAGGCTGATTTTGGGGAAATTTGTATTGCAAGTATTTGATGCGGATCCATGCAGTTCACATGCTGTGGCTTCTTCTTGAAGAAAAGAGGTATTTATTATTCTTATTGGTAATCTGTCCTTGAAACTTGAAATTTTTTTCTCTCTAAGTTGTTGCTTTGATAAGTTGAATGTTTTGCTACTCTGTTCTTCAAAACAATCTTGAGAATTGTGCTTTGGTAGATCTGGTTCATCCATCATTCATACTAGTACAGAAGCTTTTTATAAACACATCAAATCTCTGTTTGTTCTTTGAGTTCAATTCCGAGTCTTGTTTTAACTTCTAACATTTATTATTAGGCTCTTAGAAAGATGAGTTCAATCCCATCAAAGGGGAGAAACTCTTCATTTACACATTGTAGCATTCAAGATTCACATAGGACCTTGGCAGGTTTTTGCCTAATAGATGCACACACAAATCATCTGTGGCTCACAGTAGCCAGAGAAGACTGCGGAAGATTTCCGCACCCTGTTCTCCATTTTGGCCTTAGCAGAGTCCCCATTTCTGGCATTTTTTGGGTGAGGCAGAGGCAGAACTAGTGGCCAGAATTAACAATGGCTGCCATTCTGGATCTGTCTTTAGGATTCAAGCTGGTGCCCTGCATTGGAGGCCAAGGCTGGTCATTCACTTTGCCCCTTTTCCCTCAAAGCCTAGGCTGGATTATGTGTGAGTTAATAAGCTTAACTTGTCCCTTTCCTTGAATACCGTCTCCTTTCCTTGAATACCGTCTACACAAGCCTAGAGTACGTTGTGTGAGTTAATGAGTTTGACATAGCCAAAAAAGTAACTTGAAACAATTTTAGGATAATTGTTGGTAGTTATTAGCTAGAATAAGTTTTGAAAAATTGTTAATCATCGTTAACTTGTCGAGAAAGTTTAGGAAATTTGCTAGCACTTTCTCCTATTGTCACAGGTAGGTTCTATTCACAACAACCATGATAATTGAATGTTTAAGGTTATTTCATTCAAATGATCTCTTCCCATAAGTCGTTCTTTCTATTTAATCTATTTGTTTCAATATATTTCGATCGTGGGTCATATCTAACATTATGCATGATGATCTGTGAGAGCTACCAAGTCGTGGCTTTGCCCAATCCACAAGGTTTTGGTCATTCTTTGCTCTTGGATCATCCGTTGCTCTTCATATGGAAGGTTGAAAAGTAGCACCTTGAAATTATATACGTCACTTTTCGTTGTCAAGTGCCTTGATGGACATTAGGCGGCTTATGTATTTCACTATGTGCAACAATGTCTGATGATTAATGTAAATGATTGTTATTCATCATATTATATATATATATATATATATATATATATATATATATATTATAAGAAGGATTTTAAGTGATTTCAAATTCTAAAGAATTTTAAATGAAGTCGGTTGTTTATTATAGTATGATATATATATTTTTTCTATTAACCTATAGATATTCGAAATTTTGAATGTCGAAACATATCAAAGTCTCAAAGCTTATGGATTTTGATAAAAAAAAACATAGATAAAATATCAATACGTTTAGCCACGAAATCAACACTAAGACATCATCACTGTCAATCATACAAAGTCTAGTATCATCTGAAAAATAGTAGCTTGCATACATGCATCAAAATATTTTAGATTCATATTTATTTTTTTTAAACAATTAAACAAAATTAAATCATGAGTTTTTTTCATAGTCGGTGTAGAAACGACATCTTTTTCTTTTTTTTCTTTTTCTTTTTTATTTTTTAATTTTGATAAATTTAATATATTTCTATATATAGTTATGAATTTCATATCTGTAATGCACGTCACATTTAAGTTTCACTTACCATTTATATTTCAAAGATTTTGACTTTTAATTATTTCGTATTAGTTACAAAGTAATTTTACCGTCAAATAATTGCTTAAATTTAGAAACCCAACTCATTTATAAATATTCTCGAACCAAAAAAAAAAAAAAAAAAAATTCACATGAACTTGTCAGTGTGACAACTCTAAGAAAAAAAATGAAGATTATGTTCGACTCAATTCACTTAAGAATTAAACGATGTATTTATAAGAAATAATCTTTTGCATATTTCGAAAATATTAATTAAATGAGTTCAAATTTATCCAAATAACAGAAATAATAAATTAATATATATATATATAAAAATTAGAAAGGTATAGAATCTCAATTAATTTAAATTTCGACCATCCAAAAAAGGAAAAACAACCCTATGATTTGCATTAAAAATTGCAATTTTTGATACAAATTTGTTATGCAAACATAGAAAATAATGCCTTCATTCTTGTCTCTTATTATCTGTGTCTGAATTTTTTTACCTATTGAATCATTTTTAAATTATTTTTAAATAATGTGTGAGGTCGAAAATTCAAATACCTTACTTATTAAATTATGATAAATATTTAATATTGGCAGCTTTATGTTTTTTATAACAAATTATGATAACTTAAAATTCATGAATTAATGTACAAAACTTTAAAAAAAGTTTTTTTTAAAACAAAAATCCAAATAGGAAGTTGTTTTAAATACAAACTTAGAGTAAAAATAGAATTAATAAATATTTCATCTTAGAAAATTTTAATTAATTATACTTAAATATTAAACATGTCTTCCATAATTTATGGTCCATCGGACTTTATTATTATAATTATTATTTACCTTAAAAATATATTTTAAAAAAATCAAGAAAATCTACGCCATTTAATTGTGTCATTTGAGTCCATTATTATTATTATTTATGGACAATGGAAAAGAGACATATTTTCTATAATTTAAGGAAATATAAGAAAATCCACGTCATATAATCTCATGCAAATACTCTCTCTCCTCTGTCAAAAAATCATAATTTATTTATATTCTCTCTCTAAATTAACATATATAAAATAAGAAATTTGGGCACTCAATAAACTCCCATCTCTCTAAAGCTTTCCCACTGGAATCCATGGCTGCCATTTCAATTTTCTTCTGTTTGCTCCTCATTTCCTTCTCCGAAGCAACCGCTCATGGCGGCGTTGGCGGCGGCGGCCATGGCTTCACCACCTCTCTCTTCCACCGCGATTCTTTTCTCTCCCCTCTCTATAACCCATCTCTCTCCCGCTACGACCGACTCACTAACGCCTTCCGCCGCTCCTTCTCCCGCTCCGACACCCTCCTCAACCGCGCTTCCGCCGTCTCCACCACCGGCATCCACTCCCGGATCATCCCCGACGACGGCGAGTTCCTAATGTCCATCTCCATCGGAACCCCGCGGGTCAAAATCATGGCCATCGCTGATACCGGCAGCGACCTGACGTGGACCCAGTGCATGCCATGTCACAAATGCTTCAATCAATCATTTCCCATTTTTAATCCACGTCGATCCTTCTCCTACCGCCACGTGTCTTGCACTTCCAATGCTTGCCGCTCTCTCGACGACTATCGCTGTGGGCCCAACAACCGAACCTGCAGCTACGGTTATAGCTACGGAGACCAATCCTTTACGTATGGTGACCTGGCCTCTGATAAAATTACTATTGGATCCTTCAAACTCTTCAAGACAGTTATTGGATGTGGCCATGTGAACGGCGGCACTTTCAGCGGAGATACCTCAGGAATTATCGGACTCGGCGGCGGCCCTCTCTCTTTGATCTCTCAAATGAGCAATTTTACCCCCAATCACAACCCATTTTTTACCCCAAAAAAAGCTCCTCCTTCAGTCACGTGCCTTGCACGTCCGATACGTGTAAGTCAGTCGACGACGCGTTCTGTGGGGAGCAGGGGTCTTGCGATTACAGTTTCGCGTACGCAGATCATACCTACTCGAAGGGAGAGTTTGGAACTGATACGATCACCATCGGGTCAATGTCTGTCAACATGTTGATTGGATGTGGCCACGAGAGCGGCGGCGGGTTCGGCAATACCTCCGGTGTCATCGGACTCGGCGGCAACGACCTGTCTATAGTTACTCAAATGAGCAAAAAAAGCGCCGTGAGCTGGAAATTCTCCTATTGCTTACCGTCCGTATCGAGTCAAGGGAGGGGCAAAATCAACTTCGGTGAAAACGCCGTCGTTTCAGGTCCTGGTGTCGTTTCAACACTACTGGACCCCAGCATGATGTATCAGATGAGTCTGGAAGCCATTTCCGTTGGTAACGAACGTCACGCGGCCGACATTTCTGTCGCAACAGACAACATGATCATTGACTCCGGGACCACATTGACCTACATTCCCAAGGTGATACACGGCGGCGTCGTTTCGTTGATGGCGAAGATCATTGGATCGAAGCGGGTGAACGATCCCGGTAACGTTTTTGCTCTGTGCTATTCTTCAGATGGCGACGGCGTGAATATTCAGACCGTTACCACCCATTTCGCCGGCGGCGTTAACGTGGAGTTGTCGAATGAGAATATGTTTATCACGGTGGCGGATGGTGTGAGTGGCTTGATGTTCAAGCCATTGATGGAGATCAACTCCGTTGGGATTTGGGGGAATATAGCTCAGGCGAATTTCTTGATCGGATATGATTTGGAGAAGAAGAGCTTGTCGTTCAAACTTACCGTGTGTGCTTAGAACCTCAAACTCTCCAACTACGTTGATTTTTCTTTTTGTGAATCACAGTTTTCTTTTTTTCGTGTAAAACAAATTATTTATGTTTTTGTTATATTTATAAAAATGAATTACATATTTTACTAAATATACCAAAATAATAGTTTTGCTTCATTTATTTATTTTTAATTGAATTATACTTGGGAGTCCAAATTCAAACCTTCAATCTCTAGGTCAATAATACATATAATAATTTTGACTCGTACACATAGTGAATTTGTCTCAACGGTTTGTGTGGATTCAAATCATGCTGAGCACTACTTGTAACGATTAAAGTGGGGTTTCTTTTTTGGGTTTTTCCTCAATATTTTTAAAATGCATCTAGTATGAATAAGTTTCCACACCCTTGTGAATAAGGTTTTGTTCTTATCTACAACTGGTGTGGGATCTCACAACATGACCCTAGTAAATTATTAAAATAATTTGCCTCTAAAAATTTATTAAAAGATTAAATTTAAAAATGAAAAATATTAGATTAAATTATTATTTTTAAACCAAGGAAACTAAAGGTTGAAAAACATCCATTGGTTTAGATATAAAAATAAATATGAAAATAACATTTTATTATATTTTAGACTATCATTTTTTAATAAATCTTAAAATTAGTGATTTATTATTTATTTGAAATTAATTTTTTTTTATCAAATTTAGTTTCATGTTTAAAAAAATAATCAAGTAGTTTTTTTTCCGTTGAAAAAGGTTAATAAAAAATTATATATATATATGGACAATGAAAAAGAGACAATATTTTGCCTCTAAAAAAACATATAATAATAATAATAATTATATAATATTATTATTATTATTATTATTATTTATGGACAATGAAAAGAGACATACTTTCTACAGTTTAAGGAAACCTGAGAAAATCCACGTCATATAATCTCATGCAAACCCTCTCTCCTCTGTCAAAAAAACATAATACATATTTATATTCTCTCTCTAAATTATCATATATAAAATAAGAAAATCATTGCCATAGACGATACCGGCAGCGACCTGACGTGGACCAATCACTTCCCGTTTTTAATCCACGTCGATCCTCTTCCTACCGCCACGTGTCTTGCACTTTCAATGCTTACCTCTCTAGACGTGGGTGAGGTTGAAAGATTTTTTTTAACCCAAGTTCGGTTAAATTGGTAATTACACCCCAACCTGCACATTTTCCCATTTCAACTCTCTATTTTCGGGTTGAGTTCAGGTTGTTAAAATTTTTTTATTTATTCACAATTTATAATTATTCTTATACAATCTTAGATAAAAAATAATTGTTCACAAAAAAAACACAAATCAATTTCTAATTACTCACAAAAAAGTTATATCAATAACAAAGAATGAAAATGGTAACATATTAACATAGTTTAACATTGTCAACTAAAAATAAGAATGCTTATTGAGAATTAGTTAAAGATTAAAAAAATAATAAAAATTATTAATTTAAAAATACTGTATTAACAAAAATAAAAAACATTATAACGTGATGGAATTAGAGAGTCCTAAACTAAATATATATATATAAATTGTGATATAATAATGTTACAACTGACTAAATAAATAAATAAATAAATAAATAAATATATATATATATATATATATATAAATTTCTTCAGTGGCAAAAATGTAACAGGCAAAATAAGCTTCAGCAAAAAGGCCATTGTTTCAGGGCGATAAGTTGTTTTCTACCCCTCTCATGTTAAAAGAACCTAATACCTTCTATTACCCAACTCTCGAAACAATGTCCATTGCAAACAAGCGGTTTAAGGCCGAGAACGACATGTCGGTCGCTGTAGAACAAGAGAATATCCTTATCAATTTCGGTACAACATTGACGCCGAATTTGTACAAACGTGTCACTTTGACATTGGCGCATGTTGTAAAGCGAAACGAGTGCATGATTCGACTGGAGTTTTGGATCTCTGCTTCGCCACGTGCAGCATTAATCATTTGAATATTCCGGTAATTACGGAACATTTTGCCGGAGGTGCCGACGTGAAATTGTTATCGTTGAATATATTTGTAATGGTGGCAGATAATGTGGCTTGTTTGGCCTTGGCGCCATCGACGAATTTTGCCATTTTTGAAAACTTGGCAAAGGTGAACTTTTTGGTCAGATACGATCTCGAGCGCAAGAGATTGTCGTTCAAATACAACGTTTGTGCTTAAAGACTACGAGTCATTTCTCTATTGTTTGTTTTTTTATTATAGTTATTTCTCTTCCCAAACCACATGATTTGGCAGAATAAAATGTGAAAGAAAAAGATAATCTATGAAGGGTACATAAACCGTTTCTATCTATATATTAACAATAAAAAGTTTGAGGGTTAATGTTCGTATTAAAAATTAGGGACATTAATAGAAAATTTTAAAATTCCATGATAAATTTGAAACTTTTTTGAAATTAAAGAGATACCAATAATATATGTATTTTTAATTTTTTATAAAAAAAAAAATTAGAAAATTATTGAAAATGTGAAAGTTTAGAAGTAATTTATTTATTTTTGACGGATTACAAAATTTATAAATATTTTATTAATTTTTTCTATCTTAATAATGAATTAAATTAAGCTAAAATTGGAAAGTCTTTTATTTTATATTTTCAAAAGTCAAATCAATGTGTAGAAATGGTAATATTTTTTTTTTTTACCTTCTTTGGGCAAATTTACTTTATTACTATATAGGGTTCAAAATTTCAACGTTTTCAGTTCCATACCTTTTATATTTAAATGAAATGGCCAAAAAATTTGCTAAAATTTAGAAACCGTACTCATTTATAAAACTTTATTCTTAATTTATATTATATGGTTTAATAATAATGATTATAGTAACAATTATTATCAAATGAAAAATAATCTTTCAAATAAGAATTATTTATGTTATAACATAACGTATTTAAAATTAAATTATTTTAATTTGTTATTTTATAACCGTTTGGTTTAATGCATATGAAACTCCCATGCAAACTCTCTCTCTCTCTCAATCCCTTTACGTATAAATAAGGGAGGCCATGGTTACTCAAATCCTCATCTCTATATCCATGCCTGCCATATCTATCTTCTTCTCTCTCCTCCTCGTCTCCGTTGCCTTCACCACCGTCTATGGCGGTGGCATTGGCTTCTCCACCACTCTCATCCACCGCGATTCTCCGCTTTCACCTATCCGCAACCAATCTCTCTCTCACTACGACTGCCTAAATAACGCCATCCGCCGTTCTATCTCCCGAGCCGACGCCCTCTTCCAACGCGCCGCCGCTCTCACCGGCAACAGCATCGAATCTTCGATCTCCCCCGGCGGCGGTGAGTATGTAATGTCGGTGTCCCTTGGAACCCCGCCAGTGCCTTACGTGGCCATAGCTGATACTGGCAGCGATCCAGCGTGGACTCAATGCATGCCATGTAAGCAATGTTACTCCCAATCAGAACCCATTTTTGACCCAAAAAAATCCTCATCCTTCAGTCCCGTGCCTTGCACGTCCGATACCTGTAAGTCAGTTGGCGGCACCACATGTGGGGACCAGCAGTCTTGCGATTACAGTTTCGTGTACGGAGATCAAACCTACTCGAAGGGAGAGTTGGCAACTGATACGATCACCATCGGGTCAACGTCTGTCAACATGGTGATTGGATGTAGCCACGAGAGCGGCGGCGGGTTCGGCACTACCTCCGGTGTCATCGGTCTCGCCGGCGGAGACCTGTCTATAGTCACTCAAATGAGCGAAAAAAGCTCCGTGAGCCGGAAATTCTCCTATTGCTTACCGCCCGTATCGAGTCAAGGAAGTGGCAAAATCAACTTTGGCGAAAACGCCGCCGTTTCCGGTTCTGGTGTCGTTTCAACTCCACTGGGCCCCAGCACTATGTATCAGATCACTCTAGAAGCCATTTCCGTTGGTAACGAACGTCACGCGGTCGGAAAGGCTGTCGCGGAAAACAACATGATTATAGACTCCGGGACCACATTGACTTACATTCCCAAGGATATGCACGACGGCGTCGTTTCGTCGATGGCGAAGATCATTGGGTCGAAGCGGGTGAACGATCCCGGTAACTTTTTTGCTCTGTGCTATTCTTCAGATGGCGACGACGTGAATATTCCGTCCGTTACTGCCCATTTCGCCGGCGGCGCTAACGTGGAGTTGCCGAAGGAGAATATGTTTATCACGGTGGCAGATGGTGTGAGTTGCTTGATGTTCACGGCGATGACGGAGAGCGACCCGTTTGGGATTTGGGGGAATATAGCGCAGGCGAATTTCTTGATCGGATACGATTTGGAGCAGAAGAGCTTGTCGTTCAAACCAACCGCCTGTGCTTAGAACATGAAACCCTCCAACAACGTTGTTTTTCTTTATATGAACCGCACTTTTGTCTTTTTCGTCTAAAACAAATTATGGATGTTTTTGTTATATTTAAAAAATTAATCACATATTTTGCTAAATATACCAAAATTATGGTTTTGCTTTATTTATTTTGTAATTCAGTTATACTCGGGAGTGAGAATTTGAACGTAGTGAATGATACATATCATTTGCTTTATTTTGTTCGGTTTCTCATCTCCAAAATTCAGATCAAAATTTGGAACTAAAATTTGGTAACTCATGCACGAAGTAAATTTGTATTCTAGGAATACGTTTCCACATCATTATAAAGGGTTCTCCTCTCCAACTGATATGATATCTCACTATCTACCCCATTTGAGGCTTAGTCTTCTCGCTTGTACTTGTTCCTCTCTCCAATCAATATGAGATCTCTCAGCACAACTGTAGTAAATTTATCTTGTATACGTGTAAAGAGTGATTCTGTCATATGAGTTCTTATAAGATGTAGGAGCACAGTCTTAATAGATTGTATGATATAGATACGGGGAATGATCTCATCATGTGGCCTCATATGGTTAGGGCACAATCCAACCATTTGTAATTCCTATCAGGTACGACGTTGTCCTAGTAGGTTATATTGTATATATGCAAGGAGTGGACCCATCATAAACATGTAGGGCCCAATCTCGTAGTTTCCTTTTATAGTATATA